GGTAAGAGGCTGAGTCGTGCATTTGAAGACCTTTTAGAGGGAGTTGCTAAGCTGATTGGTTTGCGTCAGAGGCAGATGAGCCCCTGATTGATGAGGGTAAGTAATGTAGTTTCTTCAGTTGAACTTCCGCCTAGGCTTCTTTACTCTAATGATGTTCCCTAGATTCAGGATAGGAATCTGGTTGCTGTAAAAGGCTTTTATATGTAGGAAAGAAATGTAATTTAAAAACAACACCTGGCAGAACCTTAAGTTCATCTGGGTTTTTTACTAATCATAATTGGTCAAATAATACAAACAGCAGATATCTAAAGAGGAAGGAATTAAGCTAACTTGGACATATTTTACCAACATGAGATTTTGTTTTTAGTTTTATTTTTAGGTCAGACGCTGAATACACCAGGAATAAGCCCAATTAACGATGTGATAGCTTTGCAAGCTCTAATTCTTTATATCACCTTTAAATGAAGGTGCACTTTGTTAAAAACTAAAAATCTTAAATAAAGGTTAAAAAAAAAAAAAAAAAAAAAAAATCCAGATGACAAATCCCCATTTAAGCCCTAAAAGCTAAACCCACAGACACAGTGTTCGGGTCAGGCATCGCACAAAGTGTCAGAAACATCTGTTCCATCTGTTTTGTGCTCCATTGGACAGTATGCCAAGATATCAAGGCACACAGCTCCAAAAATGAATCACTGACAAGTCTGTCACACTTGATAAAAGAGGGAACTATAATAATCCTGTTGAAACGGCACAGCAAGAGAAAAATGGGGGGGAGGTAGCTTTGTGCACTCAAAACACATGAGCTACTGACACTGAAGCTAACAGAAATCCGTTCTTTTCTTTGCTTTTCTGCCTCTGGCTGAGGTATTTTATGCTTCACACAAACTGCTGTCCCTGTGTCCTTTGAGGGGTGAAACACAGGGAGGGTGAGGGCTGGGGGAGAGGCTGTATGACTGGCTCATGACCAGACTGAGGAGCGCAGTCATCGCTGGCAGAGCAGAATTCGCTGGGATGTGACAAGTATGCTCTTCGGGAAACAGATTCAGTGGTTCAAACACACACCAGCCACAGTGAGCTTCCTGCTATTTGCCATCATGTCTTTAAAAGTTATAAATATCAATAATTATCTTCTCCTGGTCAGCTTACTCCCAAGCCAAATACTTTATACCTGCACACCCTGCTCAGGAGGTCTATATAAAAGCCCTACGTAGATTTCTCTCTCTGCTCATTTAGCTTTCATTCATTTAAGACAGGCTTTGTTGGAGTTTATTGCTATTTTTTGTAGAAATGAGTGAACAGGCAATTAAAGAAAAGCCCTGTGGGGAATTGGAGAGGGGTGACCCTCCGTACCCACTGAGAAAGTGGGTTTATAGTCAAGATTTTGGCATGCCGCCTTTCCTGGAGACTGGGGATTCTGCTTGGATCAAGAGGGGTCTGGCAGCCTGGTCCTGGCTGGGGTGCATACCAGCTCCTCTGTTTGTGCCCTACATCTCAGAAGATATGCTCCCTTCCAGTCAGAAGATTACCAAGTGGAGGGTCAGCATGGACGTGTCGCACTTTTTCCCCTCTGAGATTTCCATCAGTATCCAGGATGGATTCCTAGAAGTTGGAGGTATTCTGTTAATTAAATCGCCCAAAAAGTTAAACACAAGTGTTAAATTACTGAATAAAAAGATTTATTTTTATCTCTTCATAAAGAATTAGCAATGTTATTTTATATTAACATTAGAGGATAGAAAAGAGTCTTAAAAACCCAACAGCACACAGAGTGAAAGCTTTAAATCTAGAAAAAACCCCAAAGTGTTATAAATTTAGAAAGCTGCTTAGATACCGTGCTTGGGGAAATTAAAACCACAGCTCTGTGGTAGAAATTAATTTCTGTGCTGAGTGCGTTTTCTGCGCCGTTTGATTCTTTGGTGTCCTCACGTTACTTCCTACAAATGCTGATCTTTCCCCAGGGAAACATGAGGAGAAGCCTGACGAGCTTGGGTTTATTTCCAGATGTTTTACAAGGAAATACAGGTATCAATCTGCAGATATTTTCAATTAAATTATGACTACAGTAATATTGTTCCTTCTTTTTTATTTATAAGCAGTTTCTTAAATGCTTAAATAAAAAGAAACTATGCTTTTGTTTCAGTAACAGCCATGTTTTTTTAATGATCTAAACAAAAGTTTGTGATTTAAAGGCTTCCAGCTGAGGTGGATGTTACCAAACTTGTGTCCTCACTCTCCGTGGGTGGTCTCCTGACTGTAGAGGCTCCACTTCCTGATACCTTTACTCCTGCGTCCATCAATATTCCAATAAAGGTTATGAAATGCAATATTTATTCAAAGTTTAACAAATACTCAAATATGGCATTCAGCACGGTCTGATTTACTGTTTGAGTCAAGGAGAAGATATGTATCACTGCTGGCTAAAAACATTTTAAGAGCATAAATCGGCTCAAATTAGCCGGATTGGACCAAAAACTAAAGGCATAAAACAGAAAACTTCAATTATAAAATCATATTTGGCAAATCTTTGTATGATAAGGTTTATAAAATACTATACAGTTTGAAAAACACCAGCTGTAATACTAGAAGTCTACTTTGGAGCATTGAATAAATGTTGAATCTTTCAGATAAATGCTTATATTTCATGATATGATTTAGCTGTGATAAACAATTTATTTTTAATGGCTTTTTGCACATTATTAAGGTGATGCTAATAAATACATACATTATAAGTTATATGTTCACAGATAAATATACAGAGAAGTAATAAAAATGTAGGACAAGGGGTCAGAGCAAAAGTATTACATATAAATATTGTTAGAGTTAAACTTAATAAGAAGAAAAATATTAGCTAGCTAACGTAGTCTAAAAATGTAGAAACCCCCAATTTAAAGCATCGATTACAAATAAAAAAAAAAAATGTTGGGTGATTGGCACAATTCTTAGAATCTTAACAAAAATTCTACCTGCTTCTGTCTTTGTGTATGAACAGAAGTCTATAGAACACATCTGAAATAATAAGAGTTTATCCCGAAGTTATTTCAAATCAAGATTTTATATCTAAATGAGGCATTCATTTAATAAACTGTCAACTTAATAAACTCTATGCTAATCTAGGTGGACAATGAGAGGGCTGGAGAACCAAAAACAAAACAAGAGGATCAGGGGGAAGAGTCTCAATTAGAGGCCTGTGGTGATCAGGTCCAACCCAACAGCACCATGACTGGGCTCAAGCAGGGAGAAGAGGAAACAAGAGAAAAGCCAGCTGGACCGTCCCATTCTTCGCTGCCTGAGGAAGATAAAAGCCTAGAGAGTGTCCAAAAATCTTCTGAGCGTCCTGATATCCCACAAAGCCAAGAAGGCCTTGTTACATCCAACCTGCTGGAACAGAAAGAGCCGGTTGCGGATGGAGAAATCCAGGTGAAAGCAGAAAAAGCTGAGGAGCTCACACCGCCTGAGGAGCAGGCGCTGGGCCCAAGTCCAGTGAGTGACATCCAAACCAAGGGGCTGGAAGCTGCTAACATAGAGCAACAACACTCTGAGTAAACAGAGAAGCATTAGCCTGCATTGCTTGCCCTAAACTAGTCCCAGAGATGCTTTTATTTTCCATTATCTATAGTGCCATAAAAGCCTGCTGTGTTTGGAACACTAATAAAAGCAGTATGATGTAAGGATATGTCGTTGTGCTTCCTGTAGTGGGAAAAAAATGTGAATCTGAATCTTTTGATCAAAAAACAGCCAGCTAAAAATTAAATCATTACAATATCAGTCATTTACTCACATTTCTTCTTTTATACTATTATTATTATTATTATTTTTTTTTTACAAAGGTTGGTTATGAAGTTGATTTAATTCTACAGAGTAGCAAATCTGTGTCCCCTTTTCACTGACATAAATCATTTTAGCATTGGAAAACTGAACTGATTGCTGTTTTGTTGTTACTAAAGCAACAGTATAATTGAAATCCCTGCATGTGTTCTAATATGCAGAACAGTAGATTATTAGAGTGGAAAACGTCACACAGTATTTTCTATTTGCTAGCACATAATCAACATATCCTTTTTATTGTGTCAGTGTGCAACTCCAGATGGAAACTTTTTAAATTTGCTCCAATCATCCCTGCTGATTCCTGCACATACACAAAAAAGATTACATTATTTTGCATCACACAATAGGTGGTGGAACAGCCCCAATTTTTCCCACCCTCATTCTAAAGTCCTGGCAGAGGCGCCAAAGTGTACTGGGTCCATCCATCCATCCAGCAGCTGGTGCACAGCGGTGCCTATCTGAGCCAGCACTAAGCTCCGCGTTAAGCTGCCGCCCAGTTCCTACTGTCCTCCAACAATTATGCCACAGGTTCTCTATATCCCTGGAACAATGCCTAGAACTGGAATTGTTCTTATTTTTTATTTATTTTTCTTAAACAAAAACACAGATTTTGGTTGAATTTTTTTTTTTATTGCATAAATCAGTAAAACGACATCAGCCGAAAAGATGGCAGGGGACAAACATCAAGTACACACGCAACCTTCCTCTAAATGTTTTTATATTTAAAAGGAAAATACTCAATGATACTGCTCATAATAAAAATATGTACAAGACTATTAATGTGCACACAATAATTAAAGCCATTGGATTTATTGATATAATGAAATCAAGGCACAAATATAAACAAAGGATGCATTGACCAATCGCTTCATGGCTTCAGATGCTGCAGAGCACAAACTATTTCCTGGAAACATTTGATCACCACCTGTGCTTTGCAATGTTGTCACACAGTATAATCAGTAAGATCATATATTTATAACACCTGATTGTACAATTAAGGCCACTGCTAAGTAATAGCAAAAAGAAAAGAAAAGTGAATAAAAGGTGTAAAAGCCAAAAAGATTAAAGCTATAATTAACACTAAAATTGCACAAGAAAATGTATTATGTTGTTTTATTACGTATTTTTGTATTTAAATGTTACATTTTATAATATTTAGATGAAAAAATAATCTGAAATTATTATTTTAATGTATCAGAATGCATTTCAACAATATAAAGTTAGTTCTTTTTCTGAATGTATTGGTTTTACAGACATAAAAAAAAACATTTAAAATTCTTTATGCAATCATAAATATAACTTTATAAGTTTTATTAAACTCAAACTGTTTTTTTTTTTCCTTTTTCTTTGGATAGTAGGATTGGTGAATAATCTAAGTCAGGTTACATAAATAAGCAAAACAAACAACACAAGCATTGTCTTCTTTTTAAATGTGGAACCCTGACGGAAGGTCGCCCTTGGTGATTGAATAATAATAATAAAAAATAAAAAAAACACAAAGCAAACTAATGAAAAAACAATAAAATTTAAGAGGTTTTGCTGTTAGACATTTTTAAATTATACATCAGTGCACGCAAGATAATTGAAGCACACAACTCTTTTTCTTCAATTTATTATTTTTATTACAAAGAAAAAAAACAAGAACAAACTAAAACAAATATTAGAAGGTATTTATTAGAAATAAAGAAATAAAAAATTTCCTTCTTATTGCCTTCTTATGATTATCTCATTTTGCTTCCTATAGATTAATTGATACAACCAAAACCTTTTATCTAAAACAGAGTTTTAAATACATTTTCTTTTTTACTTTTAGTTGTAATTAAATAATAAAAACAGAGCATATTATTATGACCTTTCGTTCTTGCTGGTAGGGGGAGGCTTTTGTTGTGTTAAAACTGCTATATGCAATAACATAAATACAATAGGACTTCCCTGCACTAATATATTTCAGATCTATTGTATCTTAGATTTTATATAAGTTTAGTACACAGGTTGCGTTTTTAACTGTAACTGATTGTGCTGAAGGATGTGTTCATCTAAGGTGTTGGTTTAGACTGCCGGAGCCTCCTGGGGTTTCTGGGTCTCCAGCTCCTGAGTTTCACCTCCCTGGGAGTCTTCATTGCTAAACAGGCAGTATGGGGGTGTCTGCCGAGCCTCGATGATGAGGACCCCTTCAGGCGACAAGGAGGCAAAGACCGTCAATGGATCCACATCGGTTGGGATCCTGCACAAACAGAAGAGAGGGAAGTTAAATAGGAGGGCACAGTTTTGCAGAAGACCCAAAAGAAGCCGAATGTGGTGGTCAAGAAAAACAATGTAGGGTGATCATATGTCACTGTGACTGAACAAACATTGCACAATGCTGGATGTTTACTTTAAAACTGTGGCAACACCCATAAAAACAACCACAGGTTGAATGATTTTACAGTTTTTTTTTTTTTTGCTTAAAGAATATTTTCTGTAAGAAGATGCACTACATAATTGCTTGCTTTTAGAAATATTAGACACAACAAAAATCTCTCATCCAGCAAATCTAGTTTCCATTGAAGGCTAAGCTTCCTTCAACCACTGCAGATAACAAGAAAACAAACAGCTGGAGACTGATTTCACTAAACAAAATAATCTTCTTTAAGTCTGAGCAAATTTAACATTGTCAGGGCTGCATGTGTACTTTCCTCATCCACAGCTGTCATGCACGCTTTATTACACTAACAACAGAGCTAGATCATTTCCTCTAAACTGAACATGTCTATGTAACATCAGAGTTGCAAAATGTTTTGCAACAATAGGTTTAGTTTTACAATTAACAACTATTAGTACCTAGGGCTTTTCCAACACAGCTAGTATTTTTTAAGCCAGAGCACCACCTAATTATCAGTAAGTAATAGCCCAAAGGCTCTTAGATTCTGTCACTTATTGTTTTATGAATACCTAATAGTTAGTACTTTTGTATTCCTAAACATAAACAGAATAAAACACATTCCTCAGTCAAAATACAATAAAAAAAAAGCTGGCTATATTCACCTAAATTAGACAAAAAGATAACAAACAACTTAACTACAAATCAAATGCTATGGGCAAAGCATTGGAGTTAAGAAAGTCAGCAACAAGGTTGGAGGTGTAAAAAGAAAAAGAAGATCAAATAAAAAAAGTTGAAAAAGAAAATACTGGATAGGGCTACCACGATATGAACATTTAGATTTCACTGTTGGGTTGACATAAATGATATCAACGCTATTCTTATGCTCTTGCTTACACTGACAGAGAAGTTTATGCATTTGATATTCACCGCTGTTTATGTTTCCATTTTGGCCATACAAGTTGCCAGCAGATGCTAGTACAATATGTCTAATTAATGCATTTGGTCCAAGAAATTATGTACGGCTCAAAAAGTACAAGGTAAAACCTACCAGGACGAACGCTGTGTGTATATTAATTTATATGAAGATCAATATATGTGTTTCTATGTTTTTAGTATAATCATAGTAAGAGACAGGACCCTTGTAAGTAGAATTAACACAAACATTAACATGTATATGAGTGCTGGTGGTTCCACGATTGCACAGTTTGTAGTATTGTTGATTTGTAGCAAATAGGTATTGGGTTTGATTTTCTGCCTAGGGTCTTTCTGCATTAAATATGCAGAATTTCCAAATGCATGTCTTCATTCTCTTCAAGTACGTCCCGAAGAACAATGAAATTAACTTGTTTCTATTGCTCTAATCATAGATAAGCATTAATCCAAACAACTTACAAAATATCTACATAATAAAATATCTACAAGAGAGAAACCAGGATGAGAAGCAGAAGGAACAAGTTTGTGTTTTCATAGCCAGTGGTGAGTGCCGAAGTGCAATGGTTTAAATGTGGATTTTGGCTGGATGTGGTCGTGTAGTTAATGTCTATCTTCG